TACAGCTCTTTGATGTCTATCCCAGGATGTGCAGGGTCATGGTAGTAGGCACAGATGGCATCCACACCAGTGGCTGTTCCATTCTTCTTAGGCCTTGAAAGAGAGGAGTGTGGAGCCTTTAGAAAAGTCATAATGTAGATCAGAACCAGAAGGAAGGAAGAGGAATGAGAATGGTAACAATGAACAGTGTTCATTCCTTGCAAAGGGACAGACAAGAACTCACCTGAGGGAATCCAGTCTGCAACTGGAGTTGAAGGAGTCATTCTGGAACATATGCCCAAGCTGTGGATAGGGAAGGAGAAGGGAAATGAAAGCAGATGTTGGACAAAGGATTCATATGGGATTGATCTCTATCAGGCTGCTAGGATAAGGTTCTCACCAGGTAGTGGAGGAAAGTCTCAGTTGAGCTGAACAAAGCTGAACCATTGCTCATATTTGATGAATATGAAAGGTTGGTTATGGTGAAGTTGATTGTGAGGGTTTTTAGATGGTGCCATATAGCTGCAGGAAGAGGAGAGATACAACTGAGAATTTCCTTGATGCCAGAGTGAAATCCTGTTCTCACCAGTTTGGCTCCTCTTTTATTCTCCCACTGCATCTCAACATGTCCAATCAGGTCAGAACCTACACAACTTCTTAACCCGACAGCACACAAATTGTCTTCTCTTAGCATTCCTCACATTCATTCTCTCTTCATTCCAGCACAAGTATTATCTTATGACCAGCACATACTTCCTGCCTACTCATTGGATGCAATGTCTAAAGATGTTATCTACACTAGAACTACAACAGGAGCTTTTTACGAAATGAAAACTCATACTGGGATGATCTATAGTGCATTACTACCCATGGTAACACATGTACTTTCAGTGTCAAATTTGCACTTGAAGATTTGACACTTGTAGTGGCCATTATGACTATCAAGCAGTCACATGTGGGAATACCAATTGAAGAATTGCTTCTATCAGATTGACAGTGGATTTATCAATGGGACATTTTTTTTCTATTTGATATAGAAGAACCAGTCAACTATGAACAGCACTACCAACAGGCATGTGGCTTGTTAGTCTGATCTATGCACATATGAAGGTGACCCTGACACTAGCATATTCACATACTCATTTCCTAGGTATATCTGGAAGACACGTGGTACAAGTGCGGGACAAGATATCTAATCAAAGGCAGACAATGGGATCCAGAGATACCTGTGGCAGGTTCTGGCTGCAGAGATGCAGATGGAGAAGGTAGGGTAGTGGTGGCTGGCACACGAGCTGTGGAAAGGATTGTCATTGATGAAATTCTCATTTCTGAGAACATTTCATGCTTCATTTATCTGGATTGTTTTTACTCATCCTAGAGATTCAGCTCAGGAGGAATTTTCCTAAAATAACCTTCCCCTCCTAAATACAACAAGGCTGTCAATAGGGAGAGAAAATTCTCTGGCTATGATTAGAAGCAGAACAACTCTTCACAGATGAAACCTGAACTAAACTTAAGAGTGACTGTGTGTGGAGAAGTGAAATATGCTATGACCAGAATTAACTCAAGAAATTGAGATACATAATCATTATACTGGTTGAGTAAATAATACTGATGAATTAGGAGAATAGAGAGTATAAAGGAAAAATAGATGGATAGAAGGAAAAATACATAAAAGGAGGACCATAGTAATTCAAAAAGAATCAGAGAAGATTTCTCATTTAGGTGGAATCTACTAGAGAAGAGAGAACAACTAAGTGAATGAACTTGATGATGAGTTAACAAGTGTGTGAGGATGTGTGCATGTGTGCATGCACCAAGGAGCAGATTATAGCATTCTAATATAGATGAGTAGATGAGAATTGAATAGATGGGTAGGTGGATGGATGGGTAGATAAGCACTGCATGCATGGATACATGAATAGATTGGTACGTGAGTTCACAGAATAATAAAAGAGAGAAAGTGGATGCTAAAAGCTAAGCAAATAGAAGACAAAGGTGTGTAAAAAAAAACCTAATAGACTGAATAATATATAGTAGCTGAAAGAAGAGCATGTGATCATACAGATAGTGAATATACGAATATATAAGGAGAGATGTGCCTGATAAAAGATCAGGTGGATGCATGTATGAATGCATAAAGAAAAAGTAGTATGACCTGGAATATGGACAGTAGTTGTGTTTGTCAATGAATGTGAATGAGTAAATAAAGAGAATCATGCAAAAAGGAAGGAGAAAAAGAAGAAACTCATGAAATACATAAGAAGAGGTAAGAGAATGGGTGGATGGATGGATGGAGGGATGGATGGATGGATGGTTCAATAGATAGATGGATTGATGGAAAAGTGAGAAGAGTGCAGGAATAGATGGAAGAGTGGACAGCTGGAAAAGTAATGATGAGAGGCCACTGAACAGCCTAAACTCAACTCCAAATCATTATGTAACCTTTACATAAGTCCTGGCACCTTGAAGTAGTTGAGGAGAAAATGGGGAATATGCTTAAACTTCTTGGAACAAGAAAATTTTTTGTGACAGAACATGGATAGCAAAGTCTTAAAGTTTTTGTAAAAAGCTTCTCTAGAGAAAAAGATAGCATTGTTTGAGCAAAGTGGCTTCTTACCGAATGGCAAAAAATTTATCAGCTATATATTTGACAGAAGGTTAGTGTCAAGAATATACAAATAAATTAAAAATTATCCAAGAAGAAAATAAACCAATATAAATTGTGGCATGGGTCCTATAATTCTCACAAAATGAAATACAAACTGTGTAGAAATATTTTTTAAAAATATGATCAACATATCATGTATCAGTAAAAAATTTAAAACTTCTTTAAAATTTCATATATCTTTTTCATAATGGCTAAGAATAAAAGGATTTCAAGTGCTGGCAGATGTGGGGAAACAGGAATAATTATTCACTTTTATTTGGGCTGTATCCACTACAGAAATATCTGTAAAGATTCCTAAAATGTTAGAAATAGATCTACTATAAAATCCAATGTTACCACTCTGGGGCATACACTCAAGGGAGTCCATACATTGCTATTGAAAGACAGTCATGCCCATGTTTATTGCTGCTCTATTTATAATATCTAGCAAACTGTAACAGTCTAGATGTTCACCAACTAGTGGACAGATAATAAAAATATGGTACATTTCAACAATATTTTTAAGCTGGTAACAACAATACAATTGCCACAGTCTCTGTGAGTTCATCTGTGTACCAGTCCTGTTGT